AAGTATAAAGATTTTTTCTAGGTAAGCGGTCAATTGGAAATTTATAATTTTTTCTAAAATTTTGGATAAAATTGGTAGTAAACTGATAGGGTTTCATTTTTTTAGGAATTGGAATAATTAGAGCTTGTTTCCATGTGTTTGGAAAGTAGCCTTTTTCCAAACAGTCGTTAAAGATGTGGACGATGTGATGGAGAATAACTGGCAGGCAAAGCTGGATCATTGACAGGGATATACCATCAATTCCCTTCGCATCAGATTTTAGGCTCTCTATTGCCTGTAATACGTCATTTGAACTAATCTTATTCAATGAAAAAATATATTCAGAGCTTGAATCAACAGGTTTATAGCTATAAACAGGCATAAAATAAACATTAATTTTGGTAGGGTCATTAAAACTTGCCGGAAGGGTTGGTTTACTACGAAAATTTATATCAAGTTGTTTGAGAGACTTCCACAATTTTTTTGAATCATTTTGATTTGCCAAATTTTCGATATATGTCTTTTTGTCCCTCCTGATCATGTTAAGAGCACGGTTTCTAAGCGATTTGAAGTTATTATAGGCGTCCACGGTCTTATTAGTTTTATATAAAGCTTGTGCAGTACGTTTTTCATCAAGAACAGTGCGCAGTTCATTAGTTAACCAAGGTGATGGTGGCTTATTAACTCTTACAGTTTTAAAAGGTGCATGTTATTATAGGTTTCCACGATAACGCTTGTAATGTGCATTACCTTCTCATCAATATTAGATTTCGTAAATAATTCATCTATGCCCGATGTAGAAGGATCGATAAGAAAATCACCCTCACTGAAATGTTTAAAATCCCTGATTGTGATAGATTTTTGTTTTCTTTTATAAGATGGAATGTCAAAATGAAAAAATACGAGTTTGTGGTCCGAAATACCATTCGTGTCCATGACAGAAGAATAGCTGCATATTTGAGGATTATTTAAAAATATTGGATCGATTAATGTTGCAGTACTAGCTGTGACACGGGTGGCTTCCGTTACGATTTGTGTGAAGCCCATCAGCTCAAAACTCAGTGAGAATATATTGTTATTAAAAAAATTCATATTCAAATCTCCCAATATCACTATGTTATGATGATATAACGAGAGGCTGGGTAGGAAACCATTTAATAAATCTGCACATTGTTGTATGTTTTTAGAGGGTGGTCGGTACAAAACACCTACTAACAGTTCACACTTACCCGCAACCAATTTAACCCTAATGCTTTCGAAAAAATCACCAAAATTTGTATGAATATCTACCTTTTCAACATGTAAATTTGATTTAACATATGTAGATTCCAGCTCCACCACCACGAGATTCTCTATCACAACGCAAGAAACAATAGTTGCCTATATTAACCACATCATCAGTAATATTTTCATTTAGCCACGTCTCTGTAACAGCTAATACATCAAAATTTTCTAATGCAATTAAATTTACAATAGCATCAAAACTAGACATGAGGGAACGTACATTCAAGTGTCCGATAAGCATTTTACTACCAGCCATTAAGAGTATTTGAATCGTACATAATTTAGAACAGATTTTGAGTATTCTAAATAATTCTAAAATATATTTATTACTCAGGTAATTTTAACAAACGTTACAAATTAGACAAATGTAAGTGAAATGTGCAACTATTGCAGGGGGGGGGGGTGTACTCAATTACTACAATGCAGGGTTCGTGAATACAAGCATAAGCCAGCTGTTGGGAACACTGCAAAAATCGCGCTTGTGGGAGGGAAATCAGAAATGTTGTTTATGGTTTTTACAAAGAGAGGAAGACATTAATTTGGATCTACCATGTCAGCAAATTGATGCTATGCCATTATTACATATTAAGGGGATAGGAAATTCCAGGAAGTACATTTTATATTTATTATTTTTATTTTGCTATTTGAGTGAGCTGTATTCATTACTAATTTTTATGGTAGGTTCTGCACATACTTAATCTGAATTGTGTTGGACTGAACACGGACAATAAACCAGAAACACGTGTCTGTATTACAGCTTCAGGAAAGGACAAAGCAGCCTGTTCTATTCAGTAATTCCCAGATGTACTAACAAATTTTCTAATAAACATTTTTATATGTGTACTTCGTACATTTTATTGCCACATTTCCCACTCACTTAAAAGTATAATCGAGATGTTGCACAGTAATACAATGATGTCGCTTTTGTGATCAGCTGTTTACACGTCAAATGTAATGGATACTCGTGGAGAATTACGTAGTTAATTCATAGTCTATGGTGTTTACGTGAACATGTAGATTCATTGCAGTGAAAACCAAATTGTCAAACCAAATCGGCGTATATTATTATTATGTACAGCAGAATAGAAATACTATGCGATTATGAATTATTCAGTTATTTTTGAAACGGTTTTTTTACACCGAAGCAGCCGCGCTGCTATGAGGATCCCAAAGAAATTTTGTTAATCCGCCTAAGGTTAGTAGAACTGGGAAAAGCTTCCTCTTGTAGATTGTTCCACAATCCACACCCGAGACTGTATGTTAGAGAAGAGTCATTGATCACTCGGATACCCCTTCTTTGTACAGCACCGAACATGAACAACATAGTCGGGGCGGCAGCACCCCAAACGTGTTAGCAATACCCGAGAAAAGTACTTATTAGCGCTAAACAAATAACCTATCCCAAGACATGCCGCTGTTGACGAGATGTGTTCTTGCCAGATCAAGTCCTCACTGATCTGGTCTCCGATGAGCCTAAATGAACGGCTCTTTGGCAGAACACTGCCATCCATCGAAACCGGATGAGCGCTAGGACGCTTTTTGTTCGTCAAGGTACAGTAATGTGTTTTGGAGAGGAAGTCGCCGCTAGTCTTCTTTTTTCTAGATCATCTTCAGAGATCGGCTTGTAGCTCTGAATTCCTGCATGTAGAGTGCTGTCACCAGCAAATCTGTGGATTGGGTTGATCGCACGGGAAAGGTGGTCGTTGATATGAGGAACATTGTCGGAGCCAAGATGAATTCCTGGAAACACCCGCGTTGACGTTGTCGGATGAAGAGGAGAACCCGTCAATTATAACGGATATCTTGCGGCCAGAGAGTCAGCCACTCATCTGCAAAGCTTCTGTACGCGGCCATAGGATGGAAGTTTGCACAAGAGGGCAGCAAGTCATACCTGATCAAACACAGAGAGTGCAAAGAAGTGTAGACACTGTGGTTAGGTGTTATCAGGCATGGCTTCGAGAAGGCCGTACGCAAAGAGCAAGGGACACTGGACGCCGCCGTAGAACAACAGACCGTGAAGATCGCCGCCTAAGATTATTGGCCTTAAGGGACCGTTTCTCCACTACCAGGTCCATTGCAAATGAATGGTTTGCAGAACACGGAAGACCTATTGGCATGCGAAGTGTTTACCGACGAATGAGAAGTTTTGGCTTGTTTTCATACCGGCCACACTGGGTCCTCCCTTTAACTCGAGAACACCGACGTAATCGCCTTGAGTGGTGCAGACAACGGTCACTCTGGGATCAGGAATGTGACGGGTCTCGATTTTGTTTAGGCATGCACGATGGTCGTGCCAGGGTTAGAAGGCGACGTGGCGAAAGGAGGAATCCACAGTTTTTTGTTGAAAGACATGTTCATCACACTGTTGGAGTTATGGTTTGGGGTGCTATAGCTTATGGTTCCAGGTCACCTTTAATCTTCATCAGAGGTAACATGAACGCACAGCGTTATATCCACGAAGTTCTAGAACCCCATCTTTTACCCTATCTTGACACCCTGGCAGATCCAACTTTGCAACAAGATAATGCCCGACCACATGTTGCAAGAGTCACAATAGACTTCTTTCAACATAATGATGTCACATTGTTACCATGGCCACCAAGATCTCCCGACTTATCCCCAATTGAGCACGTGTGGGATATGATGGGTAGGAGATTGCTCAATTTGCAACGTCCTCCTCAGACTCTAGAAGCACTTCGAGAGGAGTTGGTGGTTGCCTGGAATGAGATACCACAGGAGGACATTGACCACCTGATCAGAAGCATACCTAGGCGCGTTGGAGAATGCGTAGCACATCAGGGTGCATCCACACACTATTAAAGGTCAAAGGGCTTTAAAGCAGTGCAATCATTTTGAAATTTTTATCATTTACTTATTATGGTTCATTAAGTACTTATACAAAATTTTATTAAAATAAAACCATTTAAACTGGGTGTTCGGATTTATATGTCACTTAGTATACATGCTAACAGTAATTACACACAACGCGGGCGCGGTGGTGATTTCCCGTAAGTCTAAGTTTTCGAAAACATAAATACCTAAAAAATCGTCATTTATAACTTTGAACATAACCTGTCTTCAGAAAGAACAACATATAAATAACCCGCACAGCTGATAGATATACTTCATTTTATTCACATGCAGTTCAATACACGTAATCATCAAGATACGATCTTGCTATTCAACCAGCTTTCTTCTCAATAAAAACTACAGACTACTCGGCTTCAAAAAACATATGCAACCAACAATGCGTGTAGTTGAGTCATTCCTCCATAGATGGATGCTCACAACGATTCTAATGAGAAAACTTGGAATGACTGTTTGCACCCTAAAAACCACCTAGTGTGCAAGATTACGTTTTACACGTTTTTTTTACATTCTACCCGTGCCGGACACCCTCACCCTCACAGAAATATCGGAGTATAAAAAAAATTCGATGTGTGTTATTCAATTTGCAGACGACGCTCCCCCCTCCCACTGTTCAATGTTAAATCGCAGATACCCCCTTCCCCTATAAATGGTTACTGTGGTCTGTACCACTCCTTACTGATCATTCTGTCAGGATCAGTGGATTTATACGAAACCTTAAACGTCAACAATTAATGACGTTCTACCTACACGATCAATAAATGTCACATTTCATGATAAAAACTGACGGATCGCAGTAAATACTAACCATGCGACGTTCGCCTAATAAATAATTACTTGGCTAATCAATTATCTGGTAATACTTTTAGGATGAAGATGTTACTCCTAGTTCTGAATCTACAGTTTTGAGCCCCACAAGGCGTAGGATATCGGATGGAATACAATCCATCATGTCTAAGTTGAATCTATCGAGGGAGAGCTCTGTGGAGCTAGAGGTAATTTATTTATTGATTGCATTATTTCAGGCCTAAAATCGAGCTAAGAATTAAGTTTGACTTATTCCTTTCCAGCGAGGTGTAAACGGGTATAAAAAAATCGTCATGGCTGACTGATGTATTCTGAAAAAATAATCGGAATTTCTTAATGTTTTTTAATTTTTTTAGCGTCCCCCCACATGATCGTGTTTTAAATTTGAAACATAATGAAGCATTGATTTTGTTTAAAAAGCTGCTGAGTGGGGTTATAGAATTCTGTATCTCAGTAATTAGGTTTTCTGCAATGTTTGAGAAATATTCGTTTTAAGATGTTGCATTTAATGACATTGTAATATTTTTTATAATCACTGGATGATTGTTCCTGATAATATTCCATATTGCTTGATGACTATTGCTAGCATTGTTTATTTATTACCATTGATTAGCATCATTTACTTTTTCAGAATGACCCAAACACCAAAATGATCTGCCCGCTAAGGGTTGATATGTACTGCAACAATAACACTGAGACTGCTCTACATGCTGCTATTAAGGGAAAACACTATGACATTGTTTTTGCTTTGATAAAGGCTGGCGCAAGTACGAATGCGGTCATTAGAGCATATCATGACATCAATGAGGTAAACGTTGTTATATTAATTCATAATAGCAGAAATAATTATTTACGCTCCTCCGCTCCTAACCCCCTAGCAAATAAGGTAAATTCATTCCATATTTTATGTTGCTACCTAATCCCTACTAACGTCGATACACTTGTTCGGCGGGTGCTCACTTATTTCAATAGCCTTCCGGTAAAAATTTTATCCAATTTTATCACTTGAAAATCGTTTTCCTGGTAAGTGTCCTTTTAATTTTATTAATACTAATGAGCATTTATTGCCCAAGAGCTTATCGCCCATAACAGAGCAATTTATAAAAATAAAAGTTGGCCTAGACGTATTTCCATAAGAACAAAGTATATTCAGCGATCTCCTTTGGACGGACACCAACGGGACCGACTGAAAGTATCCGTTCAAGAGGAGTGTCCGTATAAAAGAAATACAACAAAAACGTCTATGTATATAAATGTTTTTAAAATAATCAGAAAACATCAACTGAAGAAAAACCTTTAGATATACTGGGTGTTTCAGTTTATTGTTAAAATAGCATTCTAACATATCACACTTTTCTTCATGGGGGAACATTTTTCTTTAAATTAATGACACAATAAAGCTTATAAACAAGTATTTACACTAATGTTTGACATTATTTGATTTTATCATTGTTTTCCAAAGCCTTCTAGTTGCGAGTATGTCCAGTTTAACAATTTGTCGCTTATCTTAATGCTGTCAAATCGCGAACGCCATGTTGTTTTCATAGCCGTCTTAATATTATAATACTGCAAATAATTAAAAATATTTATCGTTATTTTGACTTTATTTTTGACTTTAGCGGAAAAGTCATTATGAACTTTTTTGTTTAAAATTTGATGCTTTAACAGAAAAAAATATAATATACAGGGGTTTCCATTTAAAAAAATGTTATTTTACTGAAAAAAATCAAAATAACGACTCTCAATTGTTTTTTTTTATTTCTCATTTTTACCAGCGTTAAAAATGCTACTAGTTTGCTAATTCAAACAAGCATTTAACCTTGCAGGCAAAAGGTAGGGTCCAAATAGTTGATTACGGTAGATACCAATCCACACGGTCACACTAAATTCATGCTGAAAATTTCTTTCCCGTACTGCATGCGGATTTTCATGCGACCAAATATGTTGATTATGAAAATTTACCACTCCACGTCTAGTGAAGCATGACTCATCGGTCCATAAAACGTTACTTAAAAACTCCCTATTATTATCAGTTCTATCAAGAATCCACTGAAAAAATGTGATTCTTCGTTCTCCTTCCCCTGGCTGTAGTCCTTGCACAGGTTGCAAATGGTAAGGACGTCTATGGTCATTTCTAAGAACACGGTGAACATGGCTTGCTGAAATTCTCAAGGCACCAGAAACTCTCCTAACACTTGTGGTTGGATCTCTATCAAACTCCCGCAGAATCATACGGGTAAATCTGCGCTGACGAACATTTATGTTTTGATCCCTTTGGAGATTTCCAAAACCATTTTCAATTATTTGGCGATGCACTCTTATAAATACACAAAATTTATATCCGCTAACTCTTGATTGGAGAATAAAAATGGCATTTTTATAAAACTTACAAAAAAACACAGGTAAAAGAAACTAAATTTCGTGCATTCACAATTGCAAAAAAACGTCTCAGGTTTCAACAGACAACAAAACTAACTGTCAACTAATTGACGTTTAACCTTATTCTGCTTTCAATTTCAAAAATACTCGCAGACACAACCTACTTCTAAAAATTATCGAGATACTGACTTTTTAACGTTATTTTATCATAAATAATTAAAAATGCATCGAACCTTAAAAATCGATATAGCTGAAAAACGGCTAACTATAACGAAAATTCACAAGAGAGCTTTTTTATGTTGAAAAGTGCGAAGAATCAGTTTTTTTATTCAAAAAACAAAAAATTGCACTAAGAAAAATTTTTTTGTCATTTTAATACACTACAGGTACAGTAGTGAGCGCACTCTAGCGGCTACAGTAAAACTATGCCCATGGTTCGTTTTGTTGTACCAAAAAACCCTTGAATACCAATTTTCACTGTTATACATCAAATATTGTTCGAAATATTTAAAAAAACTATTTTAGAAAGTAAATTTAAACACCTTGTATTTCAGAAGCCACGCATTTTTCGACCCATGTTTATATAGACTTTATGCATTAATTTTAAAAGTTCTATCGAATCTTAAAGTTATGCAACAATAAACTGAAACACCCTGTATATAGGGACCTAGGAGCAGAGAATAGGGAACAAACCTAGTAAATAAGGGCTTTTTACTTGTAAAAATAAACTAACAATGTTGAGAATTATTTTCAAAAAATATAGTAATTTACAAATATTTATCATCTTAGGGTCTAAGCTATTGTTCCGTGGAAGAAGACGTAGGCTATGGGCAATCCACAGGACTTGTGGAAGCGTGTAGGAATAGAGACGCTCCTATTGTCGATCTCTTATTGAAACACGGTGCGAGGGATGATGACTGTAAAGCTCTTTCTGTCGCTGTGCAAAACTGTGATGAAACTCTTATTGCCAAATTATTATCTACTAAGGTGAGTATACTAACGAATGGACATGAAACAAATATAAATTTATTTTTAGTAATTTATTTGAACACGACAACATATCAAACACTTTTAAAACGACTTAGAAGAAATTTTGCGCCAAAAGCGGCAATTTAAAAATTTGTAAATCAACTTGAAAATGACGCGACCTCAACGGTTTTGACGTTTGCACTAATTTATTTTAGTTTATTTTTTTGTTTCTGTTCTAGGATGTCATGGCACGCTAGACTTTATGAATACGGTATTTTAAACGAAATAGCCGCTATATATGTATAATGTTACAATGGACATAAAACAATTCATAATTTGCATTTTTAGAAGATATAACTACGACAAGTGCTATTTTCTGAATTATTCGTATTTCAAAGCCAAATGAGTTAAAATATGAGGTATAATTGAAGTATACTAAGTGACATATAAATCAGAACACCCAGTTTAAATGGTTTTATTTTAATAAAATTTTGTATAAGTACTTAATGAAGCATAATAAGTAAATGATAAAAATTTCAAAATGATTGCACTGCTTTAGAGCCCTTTGACCTTTAATAAAGTGTGGATGCACCCTGATAAGCTACGCATTCTCCAACGCGCCTAGGCATGCTTCTGATCAGGTGGTCAATGTCCTCCTGTGGTATCTCATTCCAGGCAACCACCAACTCCTCTCGAAGTGCTTCTAGAGTCTGAGGAGGACGTTGCAAATTGAGCAATCTCCTACCCATCATATCCCACACGTGCTCAATTGGGGATAAGTCGGGAGATCTTGGTGGCCATGGTAACAATGTGACATCATTATGTTGAAAGAAGTCTATTGTGACTCTTGCAATATGTGGTCGGGCATTATCTTGTTGGAAAGTTGGATCTGCCAGGGTGTCAAGATAGGGTAAAAGATGGGGTTCTAGAACTTCGTGGATATAACGCTGCGCGTTCATGTTACCTCTGATGAAGATTAACGGTGACCTGGAACCATAAGCTATAGCACTCCAAACCATAACTCCAACAGTGTGATGAACATGTCTTTCAACAAAAAACCGTGGATTCCTCCTTTCACCCCGTCGCCTTCTAACCCTGGCACGACCATCGTGCATGCCTGTTCCATTCGTGATCCCAGAGTGACCATGGTCTGCACCACTCAAGGCGATTACGTCGGTGTTCTCGAGTTAAAGGGAGGAGCCAGTGTGGCCGGTATGAAAACAAGCGAAAACTTCTCATTCGTCGGTAAACACTTCGCATGCCAATAGGTCTTCCGTGTTCTGCAAACCATTCATTTGCAATGGACCTGGTAGTGAAGAAACGGTCCCTTAAGGCCAATAATCTTAGGCGGCGATCTTCACGGTCTGTTGTTCTACGGCGGCGTCCAGTGCCCCTTGCTCTTTGCGTACGGCCTTCTCGAAGCCATGCCTGACAACACCTAACCACAGTGTCTACACTTCTTTGCACTCTAACTGCAATTGCCCGAAAAGAAAGTCCAGCTTCCCGAAGTCCCACTATACGGCCCCTATCAAACTCACTAAGTTGACGAAATCGTACAGGTCTCCATCGTAACCGATCGTAAAGGATGTCAAGAACCAAAATCCGCCAACGTTGATTCTTTACTGCGGCTGAAATATTCATTTTTAGAGCGTTAGTGAATTAAAAAAAAGCAGTATAAAAACCGGAATGTCCAACTGATAAGGCTGAAAATGTTTTCACTTGTTATTGACAGTAAGATAAATACATTCACCAACTTTTATTAAAATAAAACCATTTAAACTGGGTGTTAGGATTTATATGTCACTTAGTATATCTATCATATCATAATTTCAGTACTCCAGGATATAGAAAACTCACTTACTTTTGCAAAATTGGGAATTATTCACCCCAGTGTAATCAAACCAAAACATTTACTTCAAGCACTAAATTCAGTGGTATTAAAACTATCCACAAGACAACTCCCTTTAGAAGTTACTTTGGATAATATTCCAATTTTTGAAAAGCTCATTAAAATCAGCTGTTATACAGTTGATAGAAAAATAACATACATTCTTCAAATTCCAATTGTTCATACATTAAAATTGGATTATTATCATTTATATTCAATTCCAACCTTTCACAAGGGTCTGTTTAAAGTAGTCATCCCTTCTGGAAAATATCATGTAAAGAATGAGTTGTACTTCGCTTTTGCGGGAGACGCATGCACGGGAAACGGTCGCAAAACAGTACGTTTGCAAGGAACTAGATTTAAGAAGAATCAAAGAATCCAATCCCTGTGAAGTTCAACTCCTGGGACAAAAAATTCCCACTACCTGCCGAGAAGTAGAAGCCGTAATCACAGAGCCAGTAATGAAGAAACTGCATGATTTCGGACAATGGATCTTGCTTATACCCAATGAAACCACCATTACACTAAGCTGTCAAGAAGGCCAAGAAACAATCAAAGTTTTGGGATCTTACTTAGCCGAAATTCCAGTCGGTTGTACACTGGAACTAAATCAAGACCTGATTACCAATCAAGAACCTATATCGATTGGAAGTCAGCCAATTATTTTTCCAAATATCGATACCAATACTTCAATTGCTACCAAGCCGAATGACTTCAGCCTTCACCTGTACCAAATAGAATTTGATGAAGTTCACAAAATAAAAACAAGATCATGTTGACATCCATTCACATAAGGTGTCGCACATTCCCAGTTCTTGGACAATCCTGTTGTATTTGAATGAATGAATGAATCTTGAATTTTAGAGGCATCCCGGCCACCATAAGGAGCCAGTGCATAGGCCGCTTAAGCGGGCCCTTATGCACCTCTACAATATTTAAATCACAAGCCTCGCCCTTTTAGCGAAGTTGAGAATCGCCTTGAGTCCAAGCTCCTTTACGTCCTGAGGGTCCAAAGTAATGGACCCCAGTATAGTCTGCCTATAGTAGCTCAGAGCCTCACAGCGACACAAAACGTGCGCCGAGGTCTCTTCCTCTACTCCGCAGCGTTCGCACAAGGGATCCTCAGCCACCCCCATCACGTGCAGGTGCCGCCTTAACGTGTTATGGCCAGACAACAGTCCCACCAGCAACCTTAGGTTGGCTCTACCCAGAGATGGGCAGAAGCGTCCATCCTTAGCACTGGGCCCTTCAATGAGCTCTCGTGCCTGGCGGAGATGTCTAGAGATACTTCTCCATTTCTGAGAGTGTTGTCTTGCAACCCACGTCTCCATTTTCCTCCTAGCTTTATGCGCGGTTACTCCTGTTGTATTTAGTACTGCTGCTACTTTGCTGTTTTGTCTGAAGATTTTTACTAAGCCGAAGAAACCACAAAGAACCCCTATCGAAGAAGTTGATCTTTTCAATGTGCAACTTCCTCGTTAACCCTCGAAGTTGCATCTACAAGGGGAGGCGTTATAGTACAGAAGATTTACCCGTACCACTAAAGAAGATGATCGAGTTTCCTTGGATCAGCACTTTGCCTTATCCAGTTTTATTTTATTGTATTCACAGTATATAAAAGGAAAATTGAACGTGAGAGGGAAAAAATTAATTATGCAAATGAATAGCAACTACTAAGCTCAGATTTGCAAGACGTGGCTAAATCTGTAAGTGATGAATATAACTCAATATACCATTTAAACATACAAGGAGTCCTGAATAATATAGATGAAGTTCAACAGTTTTTAAGATGGAGAAAACCACTTGTATTATGTCTTACCGAAACACATGCTACAGAAGACATCACTGATGGTGAATTACAAATTACTAATTATAAAACCTACAGATGCAACTCCAACTCCAGACATACTGGAGGTGTAGTGATTTATGTTTACCACAAAATACAGATCACATTATTCGATTGTACCACTTTAGACTATGCATACTGGTATGCACATATACAGTTCAAATTATTTGGGAAACGTTATGATCTTTGTACTTTTTACCGTCCAGCAAACAGTGATGCAGATACATTTTTAACTTTTTTTGAAGAAAAATGCGAAGAAATGTGGAATTTTAGAAACAATATAATACTTTTAGGTGATTTTAATTTAAATTATTATGGTAAAAGCATGAAAACAAGAAAATTGAAAGAAACCATAAACAACTATGGGTTCAAGCAAAAAATTGAAGAGAGTACCAGAATAACATCATTATCAGAGACTTTGTTAGATCTTGTTATTGTAAATTTCGAATGTGCAGGGATTAAAGCTGTACATACACCTAAAGTTAGCGATCACAGTTGGACAATGCTGCCCTTGGTAGGGCATTTTTCTGATACAAAAATTAAGAAAATCGTAAATACTATTTAGTACGAAAAACTTGAACGAGAACTTGCTGGCTGCTATTGGAATTTTGGTGAGAATATGGAAAAAATATATGACAACATAATAGGAAATATAAAAACTTGTTTAGATCTTGCAACTGATAAAAAAGTGATTTGCTCGACAAAAAATACACCCTGGTATAACAAGAATATTAAGGCAGCTCAAAATTTGAGAGACAAACAATACAATAAATGTATATTCACAAAATCAAATGATGATTGGGAGGTATATAAAACTTTTAGGAATAAATGTGTATATGTAATTAGAGAAGAAAAAAGAAAATTCTACGATAAACAAATCGATAATAACAAGTGCGACAGTGTAAAGATGTGGAAGACTTTAAAAAGACTGATCAATTCGAAGCCGCATGATTGTGTAAATCAAGTTCAATTCGAAAACGGTACCGAAACAAATTCTTTGGTGATTGCAAACAAACTAAATGAATATTTTGTGAAAAGTATTGTTGATATTGTAGGTACTGCCAATGCTGCACCTGACTATATGAAAATCAGTTTCCAGGGGGAAATGTTGCATACACTTTCAAAATTTCACAGCGTATCATTGAATTATCTAAGAAAAAAAGTAAACAGTTTAAAATCAAATAACAACTGTGCCGAAATGACTACTAAAAACGTGCTGAAAAACTGTTTCGAAATTTTGGGATATCCTGTATTAAATTGGATCAATTGTTCACTGAGAAGCAGTTCTTTCCCTGAAAATTTGAAATGCTCTACAATAACACCAGTTCCCAAAATAAAAAATTCTAAAAGATGCAGCGATATGAGACCAGTAAATGTGTTACCAGACATTGAAAAATTATTAGAGTCCATAGTGCATGACCAATTAATGCAGTTTATAGAAGAAAACAAAATTGGAGAAGAGCCATAGACTCAGAAGAAGTTGTCATAGCAGTATTTTTGGATTTGAAGAGGGCATTTGAAACGATTGATAGAGATATTTTGTTAGGTAAATTGAAGGCATATGGTATAACAGGCAGTGTTTTAGATTGGTTTAGAAATTATTTGTCTAAAAGGATGCAAGTTACAAAAGTTAACGACACTATTTCATCAAAAATTGAAAATACGTTGGGTGTTCCACAGGGCAGTATCCTGGGACCACTTCTTTTTATTTTATACATAAATGATTTACCTGCCATAGTCAAAAAATGCAAAATTCAAATTTTCGCCGATGACACTATGATTTATATAAGTACTAAAAATATTCAGTCTGGTATCTCTTATATAAATGAAGACTTGAAGCTTGTCTCAAAATGGTTAGCATCTAACAGACTAAAATTAAATGCAAGTAAAACGAAAGCCTTGTTAATCGGAAAAAAACAATGTACAAATGTTCAACTGAATATTGATGGTGAAGATATTGAATTCGTAGAAAATTTTAAATACCTGGGCGTTTTTGTTGACTCTCGATTAATTTTTGATATTCATTATGAAAAAGTTATAAATAAGATTAGTAGTAAAGTGGGATATTTATCGAGAGTTTCTGGATGTCTGAGTTCATATAGCAGAAAAATTATCTATAATACCATCATTCTTCCAAATTTCTTGTACTGTTCGACTATTCTATATTTAGCAAATAATTCCATTTTTGAAAGACTGCAAATTTTACAAAATAAGTGCATGAGAATAATACTAAACAAAGATAAATATACTCCAATTAGGCAAATGCTTAGCAAATTAAAACGGCTCAATGTAAAAAATTTTATCAAATATCTTGTAATGATATTCATCTATAAAGTAAAAAATAATATATTTCCATCAAGTCTAACTAATTTAACATCATCAAATGTCGACCATCATTTACATAATACCAGAAATAAAGATGACTTCCATTTAATGACGAAAAAGTATAACATATGCTACAAATCTGTATTCCATCAAGGGTTGATTGAATATAATAAATTATACTCGGAGATAAAAGACCAGAAAACTTTGACAAAATTTAAAGTAAAATTGAGAAATCACTTGTTAAATCTACAATTATAGGTTGCCCAGCAGTTACATCATACACCATATGGCTTGAATTTACTAGTTCTAAGTTGTTTACAATTGTTCTGTTTATGTAGCCAAATGTGCTAAATAAATCTTTCTACTACTACTACTACTAGTTAGTTAGTCTGTTGTTAGCGCACATACTACATATATATACATCAATAGAATTGTATTTTGATAATCGAAAATAAATCTTTTTAGAAAGCAAGTAGACTGACTCCGTCAGATAATTCACGAGAAAATAAATTCGATTTTCCGAAATAAAAAATATTTTTAATTTTTTTTTCAGCGGCCACTCCAATTTGACATCAAAATATTAAAATAACATATTACGATTAATCTATTTTGTAAATTTTGATTGTCTTCTCAATATGTAACAAGAACAATATTTATATATTGTCAACTGATGTTTCTACCTGGCTTTAAAGTTTACTCAACTACTACACAAATGACACAAATCGACAAATCGAATGCATGCTTTTTTTAACGCGCTAATACTGTTAGTTGATAAACCTGGTAGCAATTACCAGCAAGTATAGGATTTCAAATATTCAAGTTTTTACCAATAATATAACATTTGTCTGGGTTACTGGCACAGTCACCAAGTAGAGGTAATTTGCGTGATAGCACCTAAGCTCACAAAAGTGTAGTGCAGACGACAACTTATTCCAATATTTTTTTTTTAATTTTTAGGCTCACCCTGATCCGGAATACAAAATAAATAAAAAAGCTATGACGGAAAACGTGAATTCGTCCCAGTTCACTATTTTCTCGAATGTGACAAATCTAACATATTCGACTTTGTTTCCAAATACCGCAACTATGATCAACTGGCATAACCAAAAGTGTAATTTGACGCAAATCAAAACGCAATGGCTGACGGACGCTTCGCTGCACTTGAATCCGAAGCTGAAGCAGAATCCGAAAAACTATGATATTGCTCTCTATGCGATCACCAGGCTAGACGTGTCGAATAACAATTTAACCTCAATTCCGCTGGCTGTGTTTCAGTTGTACAGGTAAGTTAGTTCCTTTTATTTTCTAGTATGAAATAAAAAAACACTCTTGGTCGTTATTGGCCATTATTGTTGATTCATAGATATACAGAGTGTTCCTTAATGATATGTGAATATTTAAGGGTGTGAATCTACATGAAAAATTAATGTTAGTTTGCTTTATAAACTATGGTCCAAAAATGTTTCCTTACATAAACTCGGGGTGTTTTAGGGAAAAAATGGAAATTAATTAATATTTTCAGAACCGCTTCAGATATTGCACTGATATTTAGTACGTAGTGAAAGTTAATAGTTTCATATTTTTCAATGCAAAAATAATTTTTAGCTGTAACAGTGGCGTGCGTACGGGTATTGGCTTCGATATTTTTTAAGAAAAAAATGGTACGCCAATGGTTTTTTGAGAAATAAAAATTGTTTTTGAATCCCCCGTTCAATTTAAAACAAATGATCTTTTTTGAATTGTTTTTCTTCGATGCACCATTTTTGAGTAAAAAAATAAAAACCATTCTATTGTCCGAGAGAATTAATGTAATAATTGAAGAATGCAATTTAGCAATAAATATCTAGTTGCTCTGGAATATACCACTGGCTTTTGACATTTGACAATTCTCTGTTATTCAAATCTGTTCGCTGTGGCATCTTTTTCATTATTTAGTTTTTACAACCTTGTTAATAATGGTGAATTATTCAAATGCAGAAATGGCGGAAATGCATTACGTACGAGTATATGGCCTTGCCGACGGTAATGGTGAGCAAGCCAGACGGATTTATCACCAGAGATATCCCGATCGTGCTTTTCCATATAGTCGAACCTTTTCTAATATTCATCGTCGTCTTGTTGAAACTGGTTCTGTTCGAAAAGGAACATCTGAAGGTAGACGTCTAAGTGTGAAAACACCTGAAATTGATTAAGCAGTGCTGCACGAAGTCTTAGAACATCCTGAAACGAGTACGAGGAAGATCGCTAGACACTTAAATATTTGCGATCAAATTGTTTGGAGAATTTTAGTGGATTTTTTGTTATATTCTTACCATATTTTAAGAGGACAGACATTACTTCCCATTGATTTTCCAAGGTGTGTGATCTTTGGTCAGTGGTGTCTTCAAAAAATTACACAAAATCCGCAATTTGAATAAATGATTCTGTTCACGGACGAAGCTAATTTTTGTCGAAATGCCATTCAGAATTTCCACAATAATCATTTGTGGGCAGAAGAAAATCCCTATGCCGAAACCGAAACCTATTTCCAACACCAATTTTCGGTTATGGTATGGGCAGGAATTATTGGCAACCACTTTATTGGGCCATTCTTCTTGCCGGGATGACTTGACGGATAGACTTACCTCAATGTTCTTCAACAATAGTTGAAGAATAGTTGCCTTTGCTGCATGATGATGTTCCGTTAGTAATAAGAAACAATATGTGGTACATGCATGATGGTGCACCAGCGCATTTCAATGTAGCGGTTAGTAATTATTTACAAACTGTTTATCCAAATCGTTGATTGGCCGCGGTGGGCCCCAAGAATGGCCACCAAGGTCCCCAGACCTCAACAGTTTATATTTCTTTTTGTGGAGCTATCTTAAGACACTAGTGTACACAAGTGCCATTAACACTGTAGAGGAATTGAGAGAAAGGGGCCATTTTCAACAATTTTTGTAATCATTTCGTTGGTTTTAATGTTTTGTTTTTTTTTTCTTAAAAAATATCGAAGTCAATATCCGTACGCACGCCACTGTTAAAGCTAAAAATTATTTTTGCATTGAAAAATATGCAACTTTATTAACTTTCACTATGCACTAAATATCAGTGAAATATCTAAAGCGGTTCTGAAAATATTAATTAATTTCCATTTTGTTTCCTAAAACTTCAACTCCCCGAGTTTTTGTAAGGAAACATTTTTGGACCATAGTTTATAAAGCAAACTAACATTAATTTTTCATGTAGATTCACACCCTTAAATATCCGCATATCATTAAGGGACACCCTGTATACATGCATACACTTCTGTTGATAAACTCGCATACTTCTACTCAAGAACACACTGATGAGTTTGGATGTCTCTTACATACGCCCAAGATAATGGGATGGGGGCATGGGGATCTCAATACCTGTGGGAGATACAGCTTAGGTTAAATTATGAAAAAATTGCATTCTTTGGGGGGTATTTACATGTCGTTGAGAAAGTTGTAAAAATTTCAAGGCTTACCGAGGTATTTGGGAAAAACTAAAATTTGGCCAAATCGTTTTCATTTTTTGGACATACATATATGTAGTAACACAAAACAATGAAATGAAAAGTCACTTTAATGACGCAAAAATTCATATATTGTTTGACTCCTCTTTTTCTTTAAAATGGCTTCTGGAAATCGTATTTGCAATTTAGAAAGAAGCTCCAAAGACTCTGTATCTCCCTGATTTTCGACAAAACTTTTGAGCTGCTTGGTCAGCGCAATAGCTTTACCATAATTTGGAATAGCCTTTGTTGGTACTGGAACCTCATCGACATCAGCATCTTCGGAAAGTTCTTGTATTTCAACTGGATTTTCAATTTCTTTTCCCGAATCTGGATCTTCAACATACAAACTTTCATATAGGTCCAAAAAATTTCTTTATCAGTCAATTTCAATCAATTCTTACTTTTGAAGATATCTGAAAGGACATTAAGTGGTAAGTCATGTTCTGGATCAGATGTATCAGCCTCAAAAAATCTTGTCTCACGTTCATCTTTGGAGTTAGAAAATTTGAACCTGTTTCCTACAAGTTATATGAAGCAGGTTGGTTCAACATGCAGGCAAGGAGAAACCTGCACTTTGTAGTAATTCTTCATATGGTTATTTTATATCAAACTCCGCCGTACTTATACAGGGTGGCGCATCGAAAACGAAACAGACGCATTTACTGACAGCTCAGTTTTTTTTTTGGAAAAAATGCTCAGACCCGTCTATTTTGTTTTCGAGGGGGACACAAATTTGGCAAAAAATCACGTTAACACGTGCAGCCTCCTGGGCGGGGGTGACACCAACCTTAAAATCTTAAATGGAAAGGGGGGTCAAGTGATACCTTATTTTAAAGGTCTTTCAATTCCCTTTATAATGATGTAAAATACATGAGCTTCAGTTGAGTAGTTTTGAAGATTTATTGATGTAAAGCTTAAAGTAGACTTTAATATGTACATCAGATTTGGTTTGTTTATTATTTTGTTGTTGAAAATAGCTATTGGAGCGTTTTCTTGTGGCAAAAAAGTTATTTCTTGATGAAAGATAAGGAAATATCTTGTACTTATTTTAAATAGAAATTTAGTACATAGTTTGCGATTGATTTGACCAAACTTTGTTGCTAAAATAACTTGTAACACTTTATTACATAAATTAACGATAGTATATTCCACAGCAGAAAGAGTTGAAATTATCGAAATATTTTTCGGAAATAATCAGTGCGCTAATAGAACAGCAGAAATATTCAAGAAGCGACATGAGAAAAGTAACGTGCATCGAAAATATGTTCTAGAACTCGTAGCTAAATTTCGGGAAATGGGTCAGTCGCCAATAAAAAACGCAACATTGAAAATCCCATAAGGAACGAAGCAATAGAAGTGAGGGTTTTAGGCCAAGTTTATGTAGATCCTACGTTAAGTACCCGCAAATTGGAGACTATGTGTGGTGTTAGTCGACGTACTGTCCAACGGATTCTAAAGGCCCATAGTTTTCATCCGTATAAAATTCACCTGGTACAAGAACTTAATGAAGACGATTTTGATGGGCGATTACAATTTTGTGAAGATATGAGTGAACGAATTATAAACGATGAACATTTTCTATTAAACACTTGCTTTTCCGACGAATGTTCCTTTTTCTTAAATGGCGTAGTAAATTGTTATAACTGCCGATATTGGTCCGATTCTAATCCCAGAATTTATCATGAGGTTCATACACAGCAGCCACAAAAATTAAATGTTTGGCTGGTATTTTTGGCGATGATTTAGTTGGTCCTTTTTTATTACCTGGAAATTTGACCGGTGAAATGTATTTGGAATTACTGGAAGACTCCATAGATCCTGCATTAACAGCCATAATTGAAAATCAGAATGATCGGCGGTACATTGCGAATAATAATAATAATAATAGCGTTTATTGTACAACAGTTACCCCATTTATAGGACAATTACATAAGCACAATTAAATAATATTCAGTGGTGTTAAAAAAAAGTTATTTCAAATACAAATAAGCCATTCTAACCACTGAGTTAAGCGAACAAGTAAATGTATCGCAATGACAGCTAATACAATTTAGATGTTTACACATAACATATGTAGGAGATTTGACTAACACTTTGGTCCTAGCCCTTGATAGCTTAAAAGTTACATAGTTGCGTGAAGAGAACGAACGAACATTGAAATTAATCTGTGCCAAAATGACTGGGGAGTCAGTAATGCTATTTAGCAGTTTAAAAAGGAATAGATTGATGTTCCAACAGGATGGTGCCCCACCACATTACGCATTACGTGTTCGAGAATATTTAGATCAGACGTTTCCAGATCGATGGATTGGTAGAAGAGGTGCCATTGAATGGCACCCAAGATCGCCAGATTTATCACCTTTGGATTTCTGCGACACAGAATTGTGAATGAGTGCCTTCAAATTACTCCTCAAATATTGCAAAATGTGCGGCAACGTTTTGAGCAAAATCTTTATTATTGCATGGAGAGTCATGGTGGCCATTTTCAACATTTACTTGCCTAACGGGTCAGTTCATTCTTCATTTTTAAATTACTTTGCTGCCAAATGTATTGATCTCCACTAATGATGATGAATTAGTTTTATTTAAGCTTTAAATCAGTAAATCTTCAAAACTACTGAACTGAAGTACATTAATTTTATATCACTATAAAGGGAATTGAAAGACCTTTAAAATAAGATATCACTCGACCCCCCTTTCCATTTGACATTTTGGGGGTGGTGTCACCCCCGCTTAGGGGGCTGCACGTGATTTTTTGCCAAA